CAACCTAAAATGTGCCTGAACTGAAACATGATCATAAACAAAAATCTGGTCAACTCAAAATAGGGCAAAACTAATCATTTACAGCTCTAAAAATTATGTTTAACAGCGTACAAAAGCAAAGAGCTAAACATCCCGTACACAGACACACCTACTACCCCAATGTAATTTATGATCTACTCAGCAACATCTCATATCAGAGATCATGTTGAAACATATTCCTGGAATGCAACTTGATGATGTAGAAACAATGAAACATTACCATTATAGCCAATTTTACCACGATACACTTAACTTCACCCACCCAACATTCTCTTCACTGTTATTCAGAAAGAGATCACTAGTGATGGACACTTCTACTTCTGCAAGACCATGCAGTCTGCTCTCTCCAATACTGCAACTGTCATCAAGGTGGGAGTTATAAATAACTTCACAAGGCTTCTTTATTATAGCTAGGAAAACATTTTTTTTAAAGTAAATACTTTAAAGCTGCATAGATTTTTTGTGCCTTTTTTAGCTGCATGTTGTCATTTCTTTTAAATGGTTCTAGCACCCCTTTATTTCATAGATTTGAAATAAGACATGCACATTACAGTTATTTTACAGATATTTTCATTGAACAGTTGTAATATTCCGACAACAAGCTCAGGCCCAGTCAGACTTCACGTCACCAACAGGGACACAGTGAAGTTTAAAAGAAAAACGGGAGCAGTAAAGTTTTTCCAGTCACTCGTGATTTACTGCCACTAGATGGCGCAACTGACCCGTGACAATCATTTGAGTCCTATATTTGCAACCTGTTAGACAGGCCTGTCAATCCAACATTAAAAATCGAGCCTATGCCAACGCAGGAGACACTTTCTTTCATCACCAGGCAGCAAAGCAGACAAACTTATATCGAGGCTAGTGAAGCAGGATTTTGAAACTGCCATATTTATGTCTGACACTCCTACTGACGGGAGGGGAACAGGGTCAAAAATGTAAAACAGCAAATATTCAAAAAAAGAACTCATGCAACAAGCAGAAGCCATAATAAAAAATACATTCTTTGAATGAACGCAGATCAGAATGTGTTTATTTTGTCATTTCTGTATTTAAAAAAAAATATATACTACATTTTAATATCATTATAATTAGTAGATAGAAAAATATTTCAATATGTTGGGAGTAGCTGTATATGGCAGTGAATACACGTTTGGCACACCCTACATTTTGTTTGTAATAGCTTAACGGTGCCATTGAGTGTCTTCTTCCTCTTCATTCCAATATTATTTTAGGGCCTTGTGTCTTAACTTTTTACAGTCATATCTGTGGTCGACCCTGTGGGATCAGGCTCTTAAGTGCACAGGGATGTTGACCAACCACACTGGTTTTAATTTAAGTATGTTACAGCCTTCCACGTTTTGGAACAGATTCATTGTGAAATTCTTTATTAGCTATCAAGTACTGTATATTAAGATCATTTACAGTAGCTGTCTGACCAGGTCAGAAAAATCCTTGTGACTGACCCCTCAGTGAGATCTCACTCGGGAATTGTTCTTTTGGTTTGTTATGGTCTGTTGGTGTTAATAAACCAGCGCTGTAGCCGCTTGGGGGCGTCGTCTCTTGGTTTGATTACAGACCGATTGTCGCCTTCCGTGCAATAAAATGGAAGATATGCCCATCGAAGGCGCCAGGTGAGCAATAAGACAGACCAATTGAGACAGCTTGTGTCATGTTTACACCTATTCACTAGCGCCAGGCTTGCTACACATTAACCAGACAATATACAAATAAAGATATGGTGTTGATAAACTCATGACACGAGGTGCAATAGAGAGGGTAATCATGGGATTTCATTGTCTGTTCACGTTTCACTGTCCTAAAGCAGCACTACTTCAGTAGGAGATGCAGACCCATCAGTAGTGTGTAATTCATTTAAGCCCTTTCATGCTGTCACTTTTTAACAAAACTTATAAAACCACATGTAGATGCTTTTTTAAGGGAAGGAGGGTAGCTATCACTTTTGGGTGACCTCAAATTACTATTTGGTCAATGTGATAAACACATGTCACCGAACAGCTCACCTCGGAAGAAATATTGGCCAGATTGCTTCTTGTGCGTATTTAAAAAAAAAAAAATAATACATTCCGAATGAATTGGATATATTATTTTTTATTTGTTCCCTTTCATAATCACTATACATACTATCAACTTTAACTCATCATGAATGCCCTACTTTGCAGTTGACCAATAAAAAACCCAATTATAGTGCACGGCCCCTTGTCCAGGTAAGGAATCCCAGGTATGGTCTCTGAGTTGAGAGGATCTTTGCTTCCCTCTGAGTTATCTTAATTGGACTCTTTGAACGCAGCATAGACGGATATCTCCACATGAGTTTACTAAAGTGGAGTAAGCGGGCAAAGAGACTTCCTTCACCTTCCAAACCAAGCAGAAACACGAGAGCAGGTCACAGCATTTTTTTTCTTTTACATGATGTTAGGATGTCTCCTACAACGCCAGCCTTAAATCAGCTCCTTTACATTTGAAAATGTGACAATTTCTTGTAGTCTTATTTAGTTCTCATCTATAATGGGATGAAGCGAGGGACACAGAAGGAATGGCATTTCAATATTTTATTGAAACTTTCAAGAACACGATGTCGATGTTGTAAACTAGACATAACTCCAATACAACATAACCCATTGACAACTTAAAAAACACAAAAGAAACCTTCATATTTTCGATTATGCGGCACTTTAACGAGCAGGTTCGCAAAGTATTTTAATAACAGAAGAATAGTCCACTTTTGTCACACTTAAACGATACTTCTTTTGCTCTCCAAAAAAAAATGAGATTTTTTTTTCAAGCCATTGGTGCAGTGCGTTGTCGCTTTTTCATTCGTTTTAAACAGTAGCACTTCACACACAGGGACAACAAATGAAAATACAATGGCACATGAGTGTGAATAACTAGCTCAGTGGATATTTGGGGAGGAATAAAGTCCATATTTTAAGAGGGGTATAAATGCAGATGGCAACAAAAGGATAATAGCCCACAAACTATCTTTACACAGGTATATCGACAATAAATTAAGAACAAATCCCTAGAAACAAACTACTCCGTTGTATTTACACGCAATAACAATATGAAATAATTACATAAATATTTTATATATCCCTATGTACACCTTTTAATCAATACTACCTTTATTTATTTTTTTAAATTTCAATTTCTGCTTCCCTTTGCCTGTTGGACATTTGGGCTGAATTCCGCATGCTTGGGCCAAAGTTTTCTCTCGGAGCACCAGTCATGTCAATAGGCCTATTCTGATTTTCAAAAAAAGGAATAAAGTAAAAAGAATTCGTTTAAAATTTGGATAACCTAATTAAAAAGAAATGTAAGCAACGAGTGTGTTAATTGTATTCCAAAAGGAATATTTCTTGTACTCTCGTTTCAGTTTTTAGTGTTAAAATAACCTTCGTTGGGGTTTTAGGGGGCATGCAACATTTGGCCAATCAGTCAATTAATAGTGTACAACTAAATACAGCAGTATTTATAAGGTAGGTTAAACGGTAGTGAATTCAAATGAGTCAAATCAATTCAGAGTGCATATTAAAACACATTTCTCCTCGTGTACAATAAAGTTAGGAGACAGGACACAGCAGCAACTTCTCCTAAATCTGTAAGTCACACACCCATGCCAACTTTTCAGTTTCAATACTTGTACGGTATTCAAATGTCAGGATAAAAGTGTTGTTTAATTTAACAAAAAAAGAGAAAAAAATATACATATCAGATGTGTATTAACCAAAGTGCATTTCAGAAACTAAAACGTCCAACATTTTTTTGTTTGTTTTCTTTTTTCTTTTTAAAACCTGCATGAATCTACGAGGGTGTCCTCCTACTGTTAATGTCTTCATCACCGTCAACACTTTTCACTTTTCATGACAACAACGAAACGAGAAGCAGGTGGTGTGTTTAAAAAAAAAAAAAAAAAAAATTCTCTTAGGGGACCCGCTCCGCGGGGGGCCTGTCACTGATTTGATCGAGCCGCTGACCAGGGCTGGAGCTCTGCAGCTCGTGGCGGCGGTCTTTCTCCGTGCAAGTCTTTGGGGGGACATGGAAACGAGGCGGAGGATATTGGTGGACGGAGTACTGGTGCACCTCCAGGATTTTTTTGGGTTTTGGAATCCAGACAGCAGACACGGCTGGCTGGGACGGATAGCCGTCCCCTTTCAGCTTCGCGGTACGGCTGCGGCATTGCGCATGCGTGGTGAGCAGGTGCTGTAGGTACGTCATGGGCGAGGTGTATGGCTGTAAGCAACCTGTGTTGGCGTCGGGGGCGACTGCGCTTCAGGAAGGTGCGTGCACCGGAGGGAGGAGGCAGCACAGAGGAGGCTTGGGGCCGCGGGGCTGCTGCCATGTCGCTGTATCGGATAAGGGAACAACTGCCAACACGGAGACATAGGCAATGCCCTGGTGGGAATGAAGGAGATGAGTGGGTGGCCGCAAAGGCTGGTGGTTATAGGACCACAGTTCAAACAACGTTGGAGGTGCACTGTTAATAGCACTGAATGGCCAAAAATGCACGGTGATAAACTCTTTTACCAGGACTGGCTGCCATCTGTATGTTTTGGTAATTTTCTTGGAAAATGCATGGAAAATATGATTTAAAGTGACTGGCTTTGGGCCAGTTCTAGTGCTTTTTACTTTCATTGTCCTCAGTTAGTCTTCTTTTCTACACACTGCGGTGGTAATGCTGTTTTAGGTAATGCGCCGGTCTGATCACTCGGCTGGTTTATGGACAACATTTTAATCAAAACGTTGGCTTGTGACTGTTAGCAATGCAGGATCATTTGTCCTTCTGTTTCCCATTCACACAGGCCTTTCACAATCGTACTTAGTTAGGGGGCCT